AGGCGTTGTGAAAAGCTCCACCTGGTCGGGGGTTTGCACTGTGATCCTGGTGGCCTGCGTCTTGGTCTTTCTCCTGGGCATCGTCCTCCACAACATGTCGTGCATTTCCAAGCGCTTCACGGTGATCTCCTGTGGCTGAGGCGGGGAGGGGGGTGTGCTTCCCCGGGGGTTGGGCTGGGTCGGTGGTGGTATCGAGTGAGACAATTCACCGCAGCTTTGCCCAATGACTGCAGAACGCTGTGTACCGGGGCAGCGGTGTGCCGGTCCGGCCGCGGCCCCCGACAGTGCGGCATCAGGCCTCTCGGCAGCGTGTGGAGAAAATCACGTCCCGTGTCTGGCAGCAACGGCACTGAGGAGGACTGCATGCGTCACCATAATCATTTATCAAAGGGACTGCAATTTACAGTGATTTTTTTATCGTGTTACGAGATTAAAGACATCTATGTAGCTGGTTATACTATCAAGTATATGGTATGAGCTCTTCTCTAAACACAGTAGATTAAAATCAAAACTGCTCCATGTAGAATTAAAGGAGAATTGGTGTGTGACTCTGTACAAGGTGTTCAATACCAGTCCACACATGCATTATTTTTTAATGGGGGGAGGGAGGGAGACTTGTAAAACCAAGAAATCATTTAGCTGGTAAGGCATTTTATATGTTATAAACTGCACACTAATTAAACCAAGTTAGGGAGTTGTACAATAATTTTTAAAAGGAAACATTTTACAAGCAATCGTTTTGTTCCATGGTGTGTGTTTTTTGCCTCTCTGGTTTTCCCCATTTTTTTCAACTACAGGGAAGTGACACTTCGGCATCTTTTTATTTGAAGGAGCTTCTAAGCAGGGAAGCAAAGTAGGCTAGGAGGAATGCCTAAAAATGCAGCCACAACACTTCTGCCTAACTGGCTTTACACGAAGGATGGCTTTGAATGGTAAACGTTGGATATACTATTTTACCTCCAGTATGGCAGCAGGGCTTCCCGATGACCTGGCCTTCATAGCCATTTGTGAAGTGTGTCATGAGAAGTCCTAGGACTCCTCCTACAAGGATGTGAGAGCAAATTGTTCTTCTTTTTCTCTTTCTAGAGGTTGGGTTTTCTTAATTGTTTCTAAAGATTTTAGACCTATTTTGCCTCCCTCTTTCCTAGGAGATGCAACTGCGCAGCCATGGATGGTGTGACAGAGGAGTTGCTCTAAGGAAGCCCTACAATCCCAGCTGAGACCAAGAACCCTTATATGCAATCATGTAGTAAGAGGCAGTGACATAGCTGGGAGGAGAACCCAGGCCAACCTAACCCTTCACTGGGTGGGCAACCCCTCCTAAACCACTGTGGGTGTCCTGGTGTCAAAATGTCTGGGTGAGCATAACAGAGCCTTTTCCCACATTTCAGTCTTATAAATGTTGGTGTTCGTAAGGACAGGTTTGAAAAAAAACACAGGAAGTGTCTCCCTCGACCTGTGAGTGTCATGAAACCCCAGTCATTTGCAGTTCACTTCTTGGAAAAAGCCAAATTCCTGAACCTTCACTGCAGTAGTGTGTTGCTCTAAGGAGTCCCACTAGCTTTAGTAGTGCTGCTCGTAAGTAAAATACAGCTCGGTGTGAATTTGGGTATTTGGCAAGTCTGAAAGCTGAAATTTGTGTGAGATTTAGGGATTGGATCAAGGGGCACATGACAGACCTTTCATAAGACAGAAAAATCTATTGATTTGCACTGCTTTTTGCAAGTACAAAGCGTAACCTCCCTGAAGCGTGACCTCTTGTCGTCTACCTACTGCTCTTTCTAATAATTAGTTAGAGATCTCTCAATGCCATATTATAACACCGGACAACATAATTTTGACTATGCAGTGCCCAAGTTGGCCCTGTAGACATCGGTGGTTTTCTGCTTATGTCACAAAATCCAGTTGCTGGTTCACAATAAACATTCTCAGCTAGGACTTCTGTCAGGAACATACCTCTAACTTCATGCTGGATTTCTTCCCCTCCCTGTTCCCAAACCACCATTTTCTTCCTTGATTTCTGTTAACTGAAGAATAGCATATACGGTGCTTAATTGTTATGGTGTGTGTTGGGTCATGTGTGGAGAGGAACCATTGTGCTGATTTTTATCTACTGTCATATGTATGCATAGCACAGCAAAAAAAAATAATCCTCAGATAACACATTCAATGCCTTTTTCATGCAAGGCCCATGTGCAGTATGCCTTGAACCTGGCTTACAAGTATTGTAATTACCTGGACATCTCTTTGCAGCATGTTTAATTTGGTTGCAGTAGGGAACAGCAGGTATTCCAAAACGCATCTTGTGAACGTGCTAGTCTCTTCTTGCCAGTAGGTAGCCAGATTTCTACTGACATCCACGCTACGCTGCTTATTGTGTAAAGGAAAGCCAGTGCACAAAAAAATCTTGCCTTTATAAGACTCTTGAGGAAGTGACTAGATACAGGACTCAACCCTATACTGCCTTATCCCCTGTAGCAATTACGGAGTATACCAGGAGCGTATAGTGTAGCTGGAAGATGCTCCGAGAACAGTGCTGATGCGTTTTGCACCAGGTTCTGCATTTGTTTATCCGAGTTGTCAATGACTGCACAAAACCGCAAGGCAGTCAAAGAGCAGGTCCTGGAGATACAGTGCTGATAACGTTAACCTCCCTCTGGTCATACCTGCCCGACTGAAGCTCTTGAGGCCAAGGTTTCTCTGGCGTTACAAGGAATGGCTGTCTTGAAAACTGCCCTCTTTGTCCCTACATGGAGGGTGCCGTATGAAAGAGAAATCAGAAATTAGGTTAAAATACCACACTGCATAAGACATTATGCAACAGGCAGACCTGGAGTTTATCCGGTATTAATGACATAAGTATTATATGAGCAGAATACCATCCTGTATTACGTAACGCAGTACATTGTTTCATTAATATGAATTTCCTGTACTTTTTGTGCCTGCTGAAATGCATGTTTGACCTAATTTCTGATCCAGACATTTGCCTGCTCACAGCCTTGTGTAAGAGCAATAAGTAAAACCTCAAGATTTTTGCCTGCGTGTGTGCGCACAGTGTGTACGTTCTTTCCTTTTTATAAATAGGGGTTCTGGAGATGTTTTTGTTCTGGCTTTAGACTGTGACTATCATTTTAAATTTGCAGCTGCCATATCATGTTGGATCACCTAGCTTTTTTGCTGACTTGTGTAGAAGTGAATTAAATAGTTTGTTGTAATGTACAGTGTTAAAATGTTTCTCAAGTATGTCAATAGTCATACTACTTTAAAAATGCAGTGCAGCCTGTCCCATTCCTTGGTCCGATACCTGGCATTAAAAAGTGATACTGCTATATACACCTCGTAATTTTTTTTCATTTATTTTTTTTAAAAACCAGCCTTGTCTTTGTAATTTTTCTCTGTGGAGAAACACATTTGGACTTGTGTCAAAATCATCAGGTTTTGGGCTAGTTTTTGTTCTCTGCTGTCCAGTAAGAAATCACTGCTCAGTTCCACCAAAATAAAGAAGGAAACTTACTGTGACACACTACTCTTTGAGCAATCAAAATTTATGCTAAAACTTGTGGGTAATTAATCAAGCATCTGCATTTTTAGAGCAAATTACTCTGTATGAATGTGTATTTATTTGCTTGTTTAATGGGAAGGATGTGTGTGTTGGGGTCCAGCTTCATTTTTTTCCCTGGAGGGTCCCAACTTCCATTTTTGGCTTGTGCTTTGCTGGCAAACAGACTTTAGGGTTCACTCTGTGAAATTTTGTTTAGTGAATTTTAAAAATTCAAAATATGCAATTTTGGTATGCGGGATTTTTTTAGGAAATTGTGTGTTCAGTGATTCTTTGTGCTTAACCAAGATGTAAAGGAGCCTGGATGTTTTGTAAACATGGAGCAATCGTGAGTCCAAAGTTTCATCTTTATTAATGAAGCTCAGTCTGA